CTCCCCCTCCTCCCCTCTGCCATACATTTTGAACGCAGCCAAAGACGATGCTGTTATCCAATAAATTTATCTCCACTGGGTAAGGATTTATCCGTCCGATAGCGCTATCCACCCATTGTACAAACGGGCCCTGGCGTAAAAATCTCTTATGGCTTTAAAGCAAGTTTACATGATTATGACGTGACGATGCTATTCTTATATAAATGCTAAGTTGACTTCGTTATACAAGGTCCATTTTAGATCGATCTAGTTTGTATAGATCCGAGACCCGGATCGGAGCTCAGTTTTCGAGAGTGTTCTCACTATAAATGACCATAAATCGTACAAAAAACATATGTAGTCTAATTAATAACAAAACTGGGTGCCAAAATATCTAAGAGTTTGAATGGGGTCTAGTAGGGACCACATTAAAAAATTAAAGTAAATTGGCAGATTTAGTTCCACTCGTTCCAGCTCTCTTCTTCGTCCTCATATTACTGACGCTATTCTTCCGTGAGTCTTCAAGCCGCCGATAGCATTCATTGCTTTCAAAGACAAACCTTTCTTGTCGCTCAACGTTTCACCATCGTTCAACATCATTCAGTAGAGTATACTGTTAGACCGTAGATGATTAACCCCTTGCTGACCAGCAAACTAACAAAAACTTGAGTTTTACGTCATGGCTTTTTAAAAACGCATACTCACTCCTTTCCGTGTGGGATGCGGTTAGTAAAACTAACGGAAAGTGCATCATATAGTGATATAATAGACCGTTTTCTCAAGGATGCGTGCGCATACAACTTGATGGGCCACAAAACTGAAAAACGCAAATTCAGTAAAATTTTAAAGAAGCCAGTTTTATATTTAAAGAGGAGAATAATCGATTTTATAAATTATTATCGTAAAAAAATTCATAGCAATGCATGATACTAGTAATACTCGTGTTCTGGTATCGTGGCCCGTCAACTTCCTTCAATTTGGTTGCGCACGCAACCTTGAGAAAACGGTCAATTATATACTTTCACATCCCCATAATGACTTGCGTCTTTGGGGGGTAACCAATCAAAAAACTGTCCCAAATTGAAAGGTTTCTTAATTGAATTTAAACTATACCTGCTTTTATCTGTACAATACTGATTATCAGTTTATTCCAAGTTATTTTCGCGTGTACAGATCATCAAGAGTTTTGTATGTCACAGTTTCTCAAAACGCATCCCACATGGAAAGAAATTACGTTCGGGTACTTGGCAACCATTGACGCGGGGGATTAGCTGGGTCTGCTGGTCATAGCAAGGGGTTAATCATCTATGGTCTAGGGGCCGACTAACCTCTCCCTTAGGCTTCGGCCGAGCTTCCTGATCAGTCTGTAATTCCACGGATAGCGGTGTCGGGGTCGAAATCTCCGGCGTAGCAGTAAATGCTTCGCGCTGCCATACGACGGTTCAGMATTCGATGTCTGGAAGTATGGTCCTAGTTTTTTAAGCAATAAAATCGATGTTATAAAAATGAGTCTCCCTAACAAATGAACTGTTTATAAATAGGACACTAAAAAGAGGAATACGAATTCTAACTCTTTTATCGTTACTATGCATGGTTCAGGTGAAACGCCGGTATTTCTTATCACTACAAACTTTTATTCTAATGCAACTGTTTATGAAAATTTGTAATAGTATGAAAATTGGAGTGTTCTATATGTTTAGCTAGGTTAGGACTTATGATCTTTTGACTTCCGGACTAGTGGCCAGAATTTTCTTTTTTGTTCTAGATTCAGTGGTGACGTATTCATATGTTGGAGGCTTCCCCTTTACACTCTTCCCCTTTACACTCTTCCCCTTTAAAGAAAGTGAACTTTGACTGCGAATTCTTGTTTGATCAATTCATCTTCGGTGTTAAGATCACTAAAAGGCAGGATTTTTTACCGCCTCAGAAAAGCGAGATCTTGAATACCTTATATTTTAAGGAATATGAAACGCGCGTGCATGTCTGTACTGTGATATRAGGACGCTGGGAGTTGTAGAGCAAGAGAGAAGCAAGCTTAGGAACACAAAGCGTAGTGGAGTGTTGGTTTCTCTAACTTTTTGAGTGTTCCAGTACAGCTCCCAGAGTATTTGTATCGCAGTACATAGACATAAGCAGCCGATTGACGTCCACTTCAAACGCGACGGCAAATTTTGCTATTTCGCGAGCGTGGTTCAGTCAAGAAACAACAGAAACGAGTCAAAATAAGCATGATTAAAGCACATAAGAAAGCCAAGCGCCTATGACGCGTCCTCCACTTCCTTCTAGAAACAAGCACACTACACTATCTATTGTACTAACGCCTCTGGGAATTCGTGTTTTAGCCTACGTTTTTAGAGAAAAAATTAATCATTGCCATCGAATAAACATTGGGATTAGGATTAGGAACGAAATCCTCGTGGCTGACTCGTGGCTTAGAAAATCACCGCCAAAGATAACCCTAACGCGTATACTATAAATCCCAATTTGTATCAACTTGATTATTAAATTGAGTCATTAATATTGAAAGGAAAAAAGGAAGAAAAACAGTGGGGGTGTCATTTAACATTTAACTTGACTAACACCTGAAATTATATCGCGATCATACAAGCCAAAATCGTACTATACTTTAATCTACATTAATGGTAATTGGAATAGGAACGAGGGCACATTATCAATGAAACTGTGGATTGATTTTCAATCGATCGATTTGTTAAGTTTAYACACTCATCTAAATCTGATAAACTCATTAAGGTATAGAAGGGATTGTTTGGAATAAAAAATATAGAAAAAAATAATCTTTACTAAAAAGACAAAGCTAGACATGTACACCTGCTTGCTTTTAAGCACAAAACTGATAATACTCTCGTTGGTAACGTATGTATATTCTATTTTTGTTCGATTTTTCGGGCATCCGATTTAGACATATTTGCGCGCGCATAAACTTGTGAAAAAGGGTTATTTTCGTACTAACTAATGATAATAATAACTCCGTTTCATTGATTCATTTTACAAAAGCGTTTTTAAACTAGCTAGTTCGTCACTCAATCAAGTCGAGTATTGAAAAGAAAGAGTCCATCAGATGAAGCCAAAGAGCTGAGAGCTGAACTTAGTGAATGATTGTAGCAGGTTTTATCTGATTGGTTTATTGAATTACAAGGTAATCCTCGCCAACTGAGCAAACAATACTACCACGAGTTTAGAGATGTTATCTCCTTACAGTGGAAGGAAAAACTTGACAAAATATTACTCAAGGCTACAAAATATACTAACAATATATTGATTGATAATATAGCCCGGAAGTCTCTGAATAGAACATAGAATCTAAACTCGTATTCCCACCCTTCACCCCTTTTTACCTTTTTCTCTCTCCTTTTCTTTCACATTTTCAATTTCCCAAAGCACTTGGGCACACACGCGTTCATCCTGTTGCTATCGTCTTCCATTTTAATGGCGTTAATGCGCCGGAATCAGATTAAGAGAAGTGCAAGTTAACGATATCAAATCGTCAATCAATGCTCTTGGATTACAATGAGAAATCCTTTGACGCAATTAAAAAGAAAATCTGAAATATCAAAAATATCAAAAATATCAAAAAATAGAAAGTTAAACGAACCGAACGACTTCGAGTTTTCGGGTGTCAAGCATTCAGATTAATAGTGTTGTATTGAATGGAAATATTAGAATAGAATTGATATTTATTTCTTTTTCTGATCGATTTTTTAGTTAAAAGTTGAATTTACCGACAGGAACTYAAATCGAGGTGGATAAGATTCGTCAAGCCGCCCTGAAGCAACTTTGAAGCAATAGGTAAAAACAAAGCTCTATCTATTGCAGTTGGCGCCTTTGCGATGTCACATGAAACGTAGAATCTGATAGTAATGGGAATAATTGGAATAACAATACAAGAAAGAGATCTTCCCGGAAGAGCTTTTACGCCTGTAGTGTATACGTAATCCTTGATTCGTAGGAGTGGTCTTGCAGCTGAGACTTGGAAAAGATGCCAAGATATATAAGTCAGGTTTTTCTATAAAACACTGATCAACGAACTGAACTTGCTGGTAGAGACCACAATTCTGCTGGGAACTTATAAGATAGGCTAAACGTAAGTACACTCAAAGCGAACTCTTTGTTCTTCTTCCGTTGTGAGGTTAGTACGTGTGGCCTTATAACTGATCATTTACTTTATTGAATAGTGTTAGGGTATCTTTAACACTACTAGATTATCAAAAAACTTCATGATATGAGAGGCTAACTGTACACTAAGCTAGATTTTCAGACACAGTGTCGCACTTTGATTACAAAACCCCCCTTGACTACAGGCCGTCGGCCACTCACAAATTCCAGTTGAACATAATAAAGAGGAATTCCTCAAAATGAGGTGATTTCCATAAGCTTAATGCATGTACTAAAAAATACTCAATTATAGCGATGATTAGACAAAGTATTGTATGATTAGAATTTTTTGGAAATTAATTGAGAGGAGAAAGCCTATCACCTGTTTTAGTCGGCTCTAAGTGACGAAAAGTAGATCAGTAGTTAATTATTCGAATGTCGATATCCAAGGGTTTTCTATTGAGAAAATCAGGATATTTCGATAAAGGACTTACTGTTAGAGCAACAGTAGTAAATGATATTGCAGTCTTAGTCGAAATGAGTAGTCCGAGTGGCCAGTTCTGAAATGGTAAGTCTCAGTTCTTATTAGTTTTTAGAACTCGGTCAACCAGTTCTATAGAACTGACGGGTACCATTTGAGAACTGGCCGCTAGGACTGGTCGGTTCGACTTTATAAATTAAGAGAGAATTCTTTTCGTATTCAAGCGGTGAGCGCAAAAAACTATTTTCTTGAAGAAAGGCTGATGTACAAGGCTAAAATCTTTTTATTCAGAAAGTTTAACTTGTTTGGAAGTGGAGATGACCGTTGAAAGTGGAATCACAGTGTTAACCCAAAGCAAAACTTTTATTCGAAAATGAGCTTTACGCCTTCATATGCTTATTTTCCCTATATTTTCTATATGAAAGCCTGACAAAGCAACATTCTAATACGAATGCAACAAAACATCTTTGTACAATTGAAAATACCGCTTCAAACAGTTATTTTATCATAGTACATCAGTTTCTAACTGTTTAAAAAAGGTTTTGAAACGAAAATTGGGATCAAAACTCATACGAAAGTTTTTGGCGCTTTTTGCCATTATTGCTCATTATTGAAAATTACTCTTAATAAAAAGCGCTCTTATTTCAGTGGCCTAAAATTATGGCTAAGAAAAGAGGGAACATTGTATGGAAAATTCATGACAAATGAAACAATGTACAAAAAGGTACTCGGAATGCCGCGTACGTTTGTCGTAGATTAACAGATTACTGTGGGGCAACGTGGATATTTTCTTTAAAGTAGGTTTTCATTTTTGCGAGTATCAGGTTTGGCATTTATTTTCTTTCTTTTTCTTTTCTTTTTTATATATATTCTTTATAATTTTTTTCTTTTCCTATTTTTATTTCCTCTTGTGGGTCACTTTGTCTAATTTGTTCCCTACATTTCGTAACATTTGGAATAAAGTTTCATTCAATCAATGAAAGTCTTCTTTTTTTAAACTACTTCCTTTCCTTGTTATCCCGTTATTATCCCAGTTTCCATTTTATTTCTTTATTGGTCACTTCACAATTTTAATTTAATTTATTTTTTGAATAGTTCTCGGATAATTTTAGTTGAAAAATGTTGCCGGAATTAGTATATGCAAGTCCTCAGTATATTGAACTCACAACAGACACGGCTGACCGGATTGCTTAGATCTTGTTCGCTTAGTGTAATGGTATTATAATATTAACCACTTGAAGACACTTGATTTAAAATCACTTTAGTCAGGAAGCCATTAAGTACAAGCAACTGGTGTTTGATGTCTGATTTACGTAGATGTTATCACGATCGATAGCAGCACTACGTTAACATATCATTTACATTCTGGGAAATGGTATGGGCCGTAACAAGGTGGCTCTTTCTTTGTTCAGTAGTCCTCAACCTCCTCCTTTTCCTTTTTCTGATTCATCTTAACTCTTCCCCTTTTTTCTTCTTCTTTTTCTTCTTCTTCTTTCTCCTTCTCCTTCTCCTTCTCCTTCCATCACGATCTGTGATTTCAACCATCCAGTGACAGTACTGTTATAATATAATAATATCAATACATAATATGTAATATTTTTATTATTTCTAACGCGCAAAAAAAATCTCAAAATCATAAAGTGAAGGCACAACGCCGTTTCCTTAAAAGCATGCAATATCTCAGAATAGCTAGTAAAATCACAACTTGAAAGCCTACCTAGGAAATCATTGAGGGCTCTTACCACAAAGGACCAGTAGCAAGATACTCCTCAAGATTTATATACTTATCATTATATAAGATCGTAAAACCAATTCAACAATACAAGGACAATTTGAGCTCAAACCACTGTACCGATTGCATCCTATACAAAGGAAAGTCAAACTGTTGTGGGTATTGATAAATGTTAAAGTGCAAAGTCTACTGCTATATGGATAGTGTCTAACGCTTCCCGCCAATATAAACGCTTTCTAGCTAGTAAACCACTAGCTTTTACGCTCAGTGCTCAAAAATCTGTAGGAAATATAATATCGGAATATCGAAAACTGATGACTAGAGAGTCGCCTTTTAATACTAATTTTTACGATCAAAGATTTTTGACATTTGTATGATACTATTTTATGATAATAATAGATTAATAGTATGATAGTTTATGATGTTGCGTCTGTTTCGTCTTCCAAAAAAAACATTTTCTTATCTTCATCTTCTAACAAGGTGGCCCTTGCTTTGCTACGGTTCTCCTTTTCTTCTCCTKCTCCTTCTTTACCGTTGCAATACATTATAATTGCTTAATAATTGCTACATTGCGTGCATCTACCTGCACTTTTAAATGTAACTATTCCTACATTTTACAAAAACAGCGTGTTTTTATTCATTARCCAGCAGGATGCGGCCTGGGAAGCCGTAACACTGAAATGGCTTTTGCATATTTTCATGGTTTTCCATCCAATCCTAACCTCGTACAAAAATACGCTATACAATGCTAGTGCTTATCGTGGTGCAGTATTTTGCCCCACTAACTCCACCATTATATGTTTATAGTTATTTTTACATCAAGCTGTTTAGGGTGTTTAAAGGCCGTGCAGAGTATCATTCACTTAACTAAATTGCGAAARAAAACGCCCCCACTAGCTTGCAGCTGGAATCGTATGCTGCTTTGTCGAGAGAGAAAGGGAACGTATATAGCTGGCAGTATGGCGGCAATTGTAAATAYATTTACTCCCCTGCTGTTTTCTTCCCCATAATAGAAATATTTCCACTAAACTAGACTGTTTAGGAAGAACAACACATACGTATTCCTTAAAAACATTATGATAAACGTTTATGAAATTTATATATGAAAGAACTTTTCTCTTATTCGTGTTCAGTTTTATACCCCATTCACACCTAAACGTGTTTAGTTAAACTATGTTTTCATTAGGAAAAAAATTGAGAAACTAAAAACCTACAATATAATAAAACTTTCTAAAATATTACTATCAGAGCAAGACAAAGGATAGTTTACATGCATTATTTCACCAAATATCTTGCGATGTTCGTAGATAGTTTTCCAAACCTGTTTAGTTAAACCAYTTTAAAACATGTTTAAGCCTTGGTGTGAATGAGGTATTATATTTTTAATTTTTTATATGTTTGACCGTAAATATTTGTCATTTCTACTTTTTAGGTTGTATATCGCGACTTTACCTTGATAATACCTTAAGCATTTCTTTATAAACGTTTCTTTCATTCAGGTTTTTCCCTTTCTTTATTTCTTATCATGTTTAGGTATCTGTCATTTATTTTATAGCTCGCCTTTGCATTGATAATAACTTTAAATATCTCAGTACGTTCAATTATTAAGATTACCGATGTATTCAATATAATCGTGCAAAACTTGTTATTTTTACAAGTCTTGCCTTGATAATAACTTAAAATATCTCAGTTCAACTTTTAAAATTACCGAGTGTATTCAATATAATCAGGCACAACTTGTTATTTTTACAAGTCTTGCCTTGATAATAACTTAAAAGATCTCAGTTCAATTTTTAAAATTACCGAGTGTATTCAATATAATCAGGCACAACTAGTTGTTATTTTTACAAGTCTTCTTTATAGTCAGTTCTAGAAAAAGCATGCCGATAATACGAGTGCTATGACTTACAAACACCCAACGAAAAATCAGTTTATATAACCATTGATGCAAATCTGAGACAAATAATAGAAACTCCACCATCTAAATGTTTCTACCACGCGTTGACGCTATTAGTAGGTACTTAGGGTACACTATAACTAAAAACTTTGTTAAACACAAGAAATGTGTCACGCGTAATCGTAGGCTCTAGAAAAGTCATCAACTATCCAGTCTAGCTTCTCTATACCTTTCTCTTTAAATTCAGTCTCGCGAAACGATAACTTAACAGCAACACGTTGCTCAGAGGGCTAAGGCTGGTGCCCAACGATATGGCCAATATTTTTACCCCATTTCCATTTTAAAATTTTGAATTAAGATAGCCTAATCTTCCTAAATCCCAGATGTTTAATAAGTAGTATGATTTGCTTGGCGAGTTTCCCTATAGCCATTTAATTCTTTTAAGTATCCTGTATGCCTGTAATATATGGCCTAAATATCCCTTCTGTCAAACTTTTCGTCCTCAAATATTCCGTGTCACCATAACACCACATGGGTCCTTATTCAGGTTTATCACGCATTAAAACTTTGATTTCAAAAGTGATAACACTTTCTAAATCTCACTGGTTCTCTGTCAGGGAGCCAGGCAAATGTTTTAAGGAAAAAAATAAAATTCATTCATCCTTATTTTCTTATATAGCATTTTTCATAAACAATCTTTAGATAGTAAAATAACAAAAACATTTTAAGGTCTTGTCTACTTAATTCGTCCCAAGGTTATGGTCTAAAAGAACTGCTGTTGTTTAAGCTTTTCTATATTAGTGGGTTGGACAAGGACAAAAAAGAGGTTTTAACTCATGAAAGACCGATTAGAATGAATATATGGACGTGATGAAAAAATTACTTGATCAAAAACATAATCATGTTAACTCTCTCCTCGGAAAACACTTAAGAAATCTCAACTTCCTATTTTACTTTAAGACCAATCTTGAAAGCTTTTCCCCGCTAATTTTAGTTTTGGAAAACTAATGTCCCCAGTGGAAGTAATTTGGCGTTTGTTTCCGTATGGCGTTATTTATGGCTTTTCTCAAGTACCTCTACTCTTGGATATAAGTTTAGAGCACATCTTACCTGATATCAGAAGTTATCTCGTCGACCACTTGAGTCGATCCACCAGTATATGATTTGAGTAGCTTAGCTACTAAGAGCGTATCGTCTCATTTTTACTCTTGTTTGTCTTTCTTTAGATATAGGACGAAACAGACAGAAAGAATGGCTCGTATCATTCCACTGCTCCTTTTGATTACCTTATCATTGTGTGTTACAACACAGAGTCGTTCGCAACTGGGCCGCTGGACGAATAGAAGGCTTGTAATAAAACCGAAGCCGAAAGGGGATGCTTCTTCAACAACTAAAGTGAATCTAAACGATGATGAATTGCAGAATACTGCCCTTCCCTCTCAATCCAACGGTACGCCAGATTCTGATAAAAGTATTGAACAACTTGAGAATTGGAAATTGATGAACAGTGCATATGGTAAGTAATCATTCAGTTGATAGTATGTACCAAAATTTTTACATTTTCTAAAGTTGTTCAAACTGCTAAGAGAAATCCTTTGATCACAGCCAAGTACGACTTTAATAAGGAATAAAGTTGTAAAAACCAGTGTCATTAATTCTTTTTTGTGAGTTAAAGAAAATCTAAAAGGTTTATAATCTCTTATCGTGAAACCATTGAGTTGAATCAAAAAGACAGTCTGTTAAAAAGTAATGATAAAAAGGTAAATTATACTTACCGTGAAAAGATGAAAAAACTTACTGACGTTTCGGACGTTAGTCCTTCGTCGGAGTAATAGGACTAACCGGTCCGAAACGTCAGTTTGACAAAGCTTCTTACGGTGATTCAATTTATCCATAAGTTCCTACTAACAGTCTGATCTAAAGTATGAATGAGACGCATGTCTTTAGATTTACGGATGTCCTAACCAGAAAATATTCAATGAAATGATCAATGCTGAAAGCAGAGTATTCAAAGTGGCAATAAACTGGTTTAGCGAAGTTTTCTTATCCATTTTTATGCAATTTCTTTCTAGATAACACAATACGACACGATCCATTTTATCGACGAAATGAAATCACTTACTGAGTATTCATAGGACAATCCCTTCCAAGAGCTGTCATCCGTCAATATGAAGGATCTAACGGAAGAAAGAAGGCGAAAAGTAAAGGTGGATATTTTTAAACAAAGAAAAGAATTAACAAAGGGGAAAGAATTTCTGTCGAGATCTTCATTCTCTTTGATATTTATTTTTAATAAAAGGCCTGTACAATTAATTTGAGAAGTTGTGGAAGTAGTACAAGATATACATTAATAATCTGTAGTTTGAATTGCAACTCATTCGTGTATGTAAAAAGCTCACTTGTAAATCTAAGTTTAGGATAAATTAAAGTAAATAAATTTTACAAATTACAGTATTGTTGAAGTTGATCAAAGGCAGAATTACAGTCACTCAATAATGACCCACTCACGCACACATAGAGAAGTTTTGGCATGACTGTGAAAAGCTCAGTGCCGTGCCGTGACCGTGATGTTTTCTAGAACCTTTAATGGCTGACTTTTTCTCGCACAATATGATTTGTCTGACAGTGCCGTGACCTTGGCGTGACCGAGTCCGCGCCGTATATGCCGTGTTCCGGGTATTTGATTATGGATAGTAAATTCTCTGAACGTGTTAGTGCCGTGAGCTTTTCACTGTTGTACTGTCAAATAAATAAATAAATAAATAAATAATAAATTGCTCTACTTACGCACACATACGCGAACCCTAATCTGAGCAGGAACTGAAACAAGTGGAACAAAGGAAGCCCAATTGTAAATTGTTTCCTCTTTCGGCCCTTCGACATTATTTTTAATGTCCTGATTGCACGTCTATTCGTTTAACTGCATTAAAAGCTTTTTATCCAAGCTCCCCTTTTTCCTCCTTTCGCCAACAACGCGTTTCTTCCCTTTTTCCTTTAGTCCCCTATCTCTGACCGATGTTAAAGTATCATTGATATTTGTATACGACTGCATTAGTGTTTTGGCAACGTAATTATAAATAATAAGCAACATTTACGACATACAACAGACTGTGTTTACCTGGGTGAGGAGTGAGCATGGCGTGTTGGTAAAACGCTCGCCTATCACCTCTGAGGTCCGGGGTTCGAATCCCAGTCGCCTCATGTGAGCTGAGCTGGTTGCTTCTCTTTCTGACTTCTCCCTCCTCTCGAAGTTAGCCTCCGATCCTGTGCAGCCGCTGCGAGGGGCTTCCGGTTCCCGTCATTCTCCCACTAGCGTCTGCTCCAACTCGAACAACATTCCTTTCTACGATTTTGACCAATCAGAGGGTGCGACTTGACCTTGGCCGTCTTTTTATGCGATATGTATGGCTGAGTATGATAGAAAAGTAAGCCTTAAAAAAGGCTATAGATGCCATAATTCTCGACTTTCACATCCTCATAATGCCTTGCGTTTTTGGGGGGTAACCAATCAGAAAACTGTCCCAATTCGAAAGGTTTCTTAATTAAATTTATACTATACATGCTTTTATCTGTACAATACTGATTATCAGTTTATTCCAAGTTATTTTTGCGTGTACAGATCATCAAGAGTTTTGGTCTTACAGTCTTCAAGCTTCTATATTTTTCTGCTTTTTATTTCTTCATTTTATCTTTGGATACCAAACAAGGTATTTTCAATATTGTCTGATCAGCCTTCAGTAAAATAAGTGGGTTTTTACCCTCTGGTTACCCCCCAAAGACGCAAAGTATTATGGGGATGTGAAAGTCGACCATTCATCAGAAAAAATCTGTTAACATTAGGTCAGCTACGATTTCAAGCCCACGCCCCCTCATGTGAGCCCATACAAATTATGTCTGAAAACACGGTTTTTGGATCTTTTCTCAAAATAATGACTATCTAGGCAAAAAAAAAAAAAAAAAAAAAGAAATGGATTCAGTTAATTCAAATATTCACGGACTGTATTATATGGTTTAGATGGACCTAGTAAATCTGGCGTCATGTGGACGGTCGAATCCGTATATTTTTGAACACGCTGACTGAACAGTGTCTGATTCATTTAGGGACTTTAAGATTTGCAAAATCTACGACGGCGACGTCTAACRGAAGTGCAAACAACTTCACTTTGGGGTTTCGCGCCTTCAAAGTCTGTCTTCCCTGTGGATGAGTTGACTTTACTGACAATGTTTTGAATAAAATCTCCAATGAACAGAACCCCAAAAAGAAATTATTTACACTTCCRGTTGACGTCGCCGTCGTAGATTTTGCAAATCTTAAAGTCCCTAAGTCTTTTCCGCRCGAGATATATAGAGCGGGCTCATGGTCATGCTCAAGTGCGCATGCTCTGTTGACCTAAGATTTTGATATCCGGATACGCATTCGCATACGTGTGGACGGTCTAAAACGATTAGAATACGCTACGTGTGGACGCGATTTTTTTTCAAATCCGCAACAAAAAAGTTGCGGATTCAAAAATATCCGGATACTTGTGGACGAGACCTAAGTGAGGTTGTAAACAAAGAATCATGCAGTAGAGGCCGGACAGTTAACAGTCGTATATGGTAGGATTTTTTATAATAAATACTTCAAAAAGTTCACACTTAGGTAACTTTACATGTGCAAAAGCGTATCGATAAGTCTCGTCATTGACAGTGACGCTCGTTTTATACGCGTATAAATTTCCACCCTTCAAGTAAATAAACCTTACGGGCTGTCTCTCTTACTATTCCTCGGCCCGTTACGGGCAATCAGTCTTAGAATTAATGTTATTGTATTTGTTTTTTTAGGGTACTTTTTTGAATGATAAGCACACTATTTCGAGAAGACTACTACCCCAAAACAAGAATAATATAATGTATTCTGTCTCCGCATGGATAAGACCTCGAAACTAGACGGGCTATTTTCGATGGGTTGCTGACGATATTTTTTTACTGCTGATATGTAAAAAATTTTTTAGATGATTTTCATATCACCGAGCAAATTTATTGGCTAATAGAAAACAATGTAGAAAGGAATGTTGTTCGAGTTGGACCAGACGCTAGTGCGGAATGACGGAGGAACCGGAAGCGCCTCACAGCAGCTGCGCAGGAACTACTCGAAATCAACCCTAACTAATTAAAACCAAGAGAAAATGAACTTAGAGAAGGAATCTCCGTGTCCCATCATGTGCACACTTTGATGTTTTTTTTAACTCGTTACCCGCGCGATAATCATGCTTCCTTTTGATGCCTCGTTTTATATAATTAGGACACGAAAAGCGCCATATTTCGCTACGTCTACGACAAAAACACAGGCTTTGTTTACTGCAACACCGAAAGTCGCCTACCCTCAAGAAATTAACCAATCAGTTTCTTCGCTCAAAATATCTCCAAGCTAAAAATAGCATCAAACTGTGCAAATGATGGTTACAAGGCTATATAGGTAGGATTCCTTCTCTTAGTTCATATTCTCTTGTTAAAACTGATTAGAGCTGTGCTCCGGGGTCATACATGCACTGTATAGCGGCTGCCAGAGGCGCCTTCACATGCTTTGAGTTCAACCCCGTTGAGCTGCGCCACTGCTGTACTTTGGATTGCGTTGTGGTGATTAGCAATAACAAGTTTTCTTACCTGGACAACATTCTGTACACTAGAATACTATTACGCACACTAGCAGACCCATAACAAACACCACGAACACAACAAAGGGAATACATATATAGTCCTTGTTATCATAGTATAAAGACTTGAATATATATTTTCGCGCGCTGTGATTGATCTAGTTACCAGGGATTATGAGACGATCGATATTCACTGGTCGTGGGCGGAAGTAAAACCACCAAAGCGAAAATAATGATATTTCTTTTCCCTAATTTTCTCCTTTAGCTGATATTCAGTCCTAAGATGATACTAAAAGAATCATTTGTCTCATTCCATCTTTGCGCGCCTGGGCCGCAAAACGTTATTGTAAACGGCCACCTGGGATGCTTGAACATTATTTTAGTACTTGGCTTGTTCCATAAAAATGCCTAAGGGGAGAGGGGTAAATCAAAAAGTCAGGTTCAACGGGGGTTGGGAGCACACAAATGAATTCGAGTAAAAAGGAGGATCAATAAAAATACGCAGCACTTTTGCAATAAAAAGAACTTGGTGCTTGCAACACTGATTCAATGGAGAGGGGGTCAGATTTCTTATTTGAGATTTTGCTCACTGGCTGGTGCTTCGCAATAGGAAACAGTGTCCCCTTCGAGGAACATTGCACCAATTTTCAATGTCATACCTTAACATACCCATATCATTCCACAATCAACTAATTAAAAATTCATTAGTAAAGGCCAGACACTGAAGGTAGTCACTGTCAGGGTTTCTTTACGTCCTCAGCGGTTCTTTTACGTCCCTCTGATGCAAAGTGAGGTAGTTTATGGGATTTTTGTATGGGGATACCAAGCGCCATTTGCCTCTCCAACGTACCCCTCAACTGCCCCAACACCGTCCCGCCCCTTCCAACCGATAAAAAAGAACAGTCTCTAAATATAACAAATATAACTTCTTGTTGTTGTTTTTTTTTGTAATATGAGCCATCGCTGCAGTGCTTCTGCTGATGTCAAAATCTATTCCAGAATCCTTACTTCAACTCTTTTGACCCAGAAACCCACAGTCGTTTCTAAAAAGGTCTACTGTTTGTGATTAAAGATTTTGCGCAATAAACTTTCTTCTTCAGACAGAGTTAGAAATAATAATCTTATTTTTGCTGGCAAATTTCCAATGAATTCTTTGGGGGGTGGGGGGATGGCAGTTTGACAATTCAACAACTTAATCCTTAGCTGTCGAAGAAACCAAAACCGCTTATGTTTTTGTTATAGTCTTTATAAAATGTTGCAACGCGGTAACCATGGTGAAATTATATACGTTATATTGAGTTATTCCTTACACCATTATTTTATGTGTTGTTTTTCATTTTAGATATGAAATTCCTTTAAGGCGTTTTATCAATATTCGTTCATTAGTTTTCTTCAGCGCAGGATGTTTTAAATAATGCTTATTTTCATAATATCATTTTTCGACACATGTTTGAGTTAAAGAAAATTTTGATCAAGAATTAAAGTGTTTTCGTGTTTTGTTGATGGTCGAATCGTCAAGATTCTACAAAATATGTTTTGAGTAAGTATTTTTGGATTCTCTAGAATGGACCTTGTTTGATATGTAGTCAA